GGGGGAACCTTGTGGGCTTCACAGAGGAGGTGGCACTGGCGCCACCCCTGGCAGGATGGAGAGGACCCGGCCCCGCGGTGCTGCAGGACAGGAGCAGTAGCAAGAGCAAAGGCATGTGGAGGTCCTGTGCTCACCCCTGGAGCAGCCCCGAGGGGCCGGGCCCGGAGGTTGTGGGAGGGAGCAGTAGAGGACAAGACCAGGAAAGGCAAAGCTAGCCTGAGCTTGGACTTTGTTCTGCGGACAGGGGGAGCCTTGGAAGGTGCTGAGCAGGAGTGATGGCTTCAGCCACCATCATTTTGAGACCTCACCTCCCCTGAGATCCCCACACCACAGCCAGGCAGGTCTTTCAGAAGCCTCCATCCAAGCGTGTCGTTCCCCGCCCCCCGCCATGCATCCTTCACTGGCTCCCGCTGTTTCTGGGATAAAGACCAACCTCCTCCCGGTGCTGGTAGAGCCCGTGGCCAGCCCTGCCCACCTCTCTGGCCTCCTCGTCACTGCTGTATCCGCTCCAGCTGCGCTGGCCTCCGCCCGGTCCCTCCTGCTTCCCGCACTCAGCAGCTACTCTTTGAACATGTACATATCTGCCAGTGCACGTGGCACCAGGGCCTTTGCACGGGGTGTTCTCACTGCCTGGAACACTCTTCTTCCTTTTGAAAAAAAAATCAATTTAATTCTTTCTCATCCTTCGCATCTCAACTCAAACGTCCTTCCTCCAGGAAGTCTTCCCTGGCTCTCTCCTTTGATCAGCTCTCATCACACCATGTACCTCTCCTTTGTAATAACGCTACCCGCAGTTGTGATTTTGCCTGTACTTGTGTGATCGCCAAGGAGGCCAGCAGGGGGCAGGTTCCACGAGCTTAGGAAGGGGGACTCTCCTGCACACTGCTGCATCTTGGGGCCCAGCACAGTGCCTGGTGTAAATATCTGGGGTGTGCAATGGTGGCTGGGGAACAGAACGAGGAAGAACAGAGCTTGGAGCCGGGGGCATCTTCAGGAGGCTGGTGCCGTGGCTTGGGTGAAAAGTGGCACGGAAGCTAGAGAGGAGAGTAGCGACAGAATTGACTAGGAGAGGAAACACGTTAGCAGGGTGGGATGGCACAAGAGCTGTGACCAGAGTGGGGAAACCAGGCTGTTGCCAATAACTGGAGCTTGGGCAAGTGGAAGGAGATGCACAAGGCAAGGGGCAGATGGAGTTTGATGTCACGCTGTCCTGGAAGGAGCTTGGAATGGAAGCCTGGAGTTGGGGTGGGGGTTGGTTAGAATTCTGAGAGCTGAAGAGGACAGGACCAGGGTGGTGGTGGTGGGGGCACCTGCATAAAGAGAACAGAGGGAGGAAGGGTCGCTTCTCTGACCTCAGCTTCTTCATCAGGGAAGTGGGGCAGTGCTGCCAAGCTCCTAGGATGGCTCTGAGGCTAAATGAGGTCATTTAGGTGCGGTGCTTTGCAAGCTGCCTGGCACAAAGTAAGGGCTCAATAAATCATCATCATCAAGGTGCTTGACTACATTTCCATGCTGAATCAGGAGCCTCAAATAACCAGAAAATAACATAACTGAATGACAGGCCTGGGGTCCTGAAGGCTGTCACACTGTTAGTGGACTCCTGCCTGTGCCTGTTCCTAGGGAGGCTGGGCAAGTCCAGGAAGCCCAAGAGGAATAGAGGGAGTCCCAGAGCTGGAGGAGTCTGGAGGTCTTGGGGCCAGCCTGGCCAGCAGGGTGGTGCCTGGCATCGCGGGCAGGGTCACGGAGCCACCCTTGGAGATGCTTGGACCCACCTCCTACCAAGTCACCCCAGGAGGGATACATAAGACAGGGCCCCTGTGAAGCCACATGTGGCTCTAGCCCAGCCCCAGCCTCCCCGGGCAACCCCGAGACGCCTCACCTCTCTCGTGTGATCTGGGAAGCTGGCTTGTTTGATTGAGGATATGGTTCTTGGATGGAAAGTACAGGGAGTGAGGACAGGGCAGCCCAAAAATCAATTTAATTCTTTCTCATCCTTCGCATCTCAACTCAAACGTCCTTCCTCCAGGAAGTCTTCCCTGGCTCTCTCCTTTGATCAGCTCTCATCACACCATGTACCTCTCCTTTGTAATAACGCTACCCGCAGTTGTGATTTTGCCTGTACTTGTGTGATCGCCAAGGAGGCCAGCAGGGGGCAGGTTCCACGAGCTTAGGAAGGGGGACTCTCCTGCACACTGCTGCATCTTGGGGCCCAGCACAGTGCCTGGTGTAAATATCTGGGGTGTGCAATGGTGGCTGGGGAACAGAACGAGGAAGAACAGAGCTTGGAGCCGGGGGCATCTTCAGGAGGCTGGTGCCGTGGCTTGGGTGAAAAGTGGCACGGAAGCTAGAGAGGAGAGTAGCGACAGAATTGACTAGGAGAGGAAACACGTTAGCAGGGTGGGATGGCACAAGAGCTGTGACCAGAGTGGGGAAACCAGGCTGTTGCCAATAACTGGAGCTTGGGCAAGTGGAAGGAGATGCACAAGGCAAGGGGCAGATGGAGTTTGATGTCACACTGTCCTGGAAGGAGCTTGGAATGGAAGCCTGGAGTTGGGGTGGGGGTTGGTTAGAATTCTGAGAGCTGAAGAGGACAGGACCAGGGTGGTGGTGGTGGGGGCACCTGCATAAAGAGAACAGAGGGAGGAAGGGTCGCTTCTCTGACCTCAGCTTCTTCATCAGGGAAGTGGGGCAGTGCTGCCAAGCTCCTAGGATGGCTCTGAGGCTAAATGAGGTCATTTAGGTGCGGTGCTTTGCAAGCTGCCTGGCACAAAGTAAGGGCTCAATAAATCATCATCATCAAGGTGCTTGACTACATTTCCATGCTGAATCAAGAGACTCAAACAACCAGAAAATAACATAACCAAATGATTGGCCTGGGGTCCTGAGGGCTGTCACACTGTTAGTGGACTCCTGCCTGTGCCAGTTCCTAGGGAGGCTGGGCAAGTCCAGGAAGCCCAAGAGGAATAGCGGGAGTCCCGGAGCTGGAGGAGTCTGGAGGTCTTGGGGCCAGCCTGGCCAGCAGGGTGATGCCTGGCATCACGGGCAGGATCACGGAGCCACCCTTGGAGATGCTTGGACCCACCTCCTACCAAGTCACCCCAGGACCCTCCCAGGATCCTCTCCACCTTTAGTCTGTCCATCCCCACCCTCATCCACCTGATTAACTAGGTCTAAGTGAAACGGAGCTCCCTGAGAAGGAGGGATACATAAGACAGGGCCCCTGTGAAGCCACACGTGGCTCTAGCCCAGCCCCAGCCTCCCCGGGCAACCCCAAGAGCCTCACCTCTCTCGTGTGATCTGGGAAGCTGGCTTGTTTGATCGAGGATATGGTTCTTGGGTGGAAAGTACAGGGAGTGAGGACAGGGCCTTTTTTTCTTTCACGACAAGAGGAGGGCTCACAGCGGAAAGCAGGCAGGCGCGTCAGGCTGTAGAGAAAGCCACAGGGGCTGCCTCTGGATCCCAGCGTGGCTGCAGAATTGAGCCTCAGGAGGGGCCTGGCCTGTCTGCTCCTGGCAGCTCAGTGTGGCCTGGACCTGGTCCACCCTCTCAGGCCTTCAGTCTCTACTGTAACACCTGCCACTACCCTTCTGCCCTGTCATCACCCTAAGAGGAAGAGCCCTGCATTGCTTGGTTCTATGTCTAGCTGTCCCCAGCCAGTGAGGGACAGGCTTGGTTAGGGTCCCCACAAGAGGCCCAGGCCACTTCTCCAGGAAGATCTGTCTGCCTCTGTGCTAGAGGGGCTGCTGCAGTGTGGGCTGCAGTGGGGATGGAGTATGTCTGGGGGCTCAGGCAAGGCCCCCCGCAGGGCTGCTGAGGCCTGCACAGCTGACAACCGCCTTCCTGAGGTCTCTGCTGTCCTCTCTCTGCAGTCCCGAAGCAGCGTGCAACAGGGGGACCTGGATGGGGCCCGGAGGCTGGGCCGCCTGGCCCGGCTGCTCAGCATCACCTTCATCATCATGGGGACGGTCATCATCATCGTGGCTGTGACTGTCAACTTCACAGGTGAGGCTCGGCCCTATGAAGCAGAGGGAGCCAGGGTGCTTGGCATGAGGACTGCCCAAGGGTGTAGCTCAGTCCCCTGGGGCAGGGGAGGTGGGTGGGAGAAGGGGTAAGAGCCTGTGGGGGCCATAGCCTTGTCCTCTCACTCCAGAACAGTGACCCAGTCCCTAGCAGTGACAGTGGAGAGGGGATCAGTTTTCTGACTTGGCTTATGCCTGGAGAGTGAATAAATAGAAAAGGGGGTGGGAAATGCGCAGGCCTAGGAGTTAGAGGCCACAAGTTCCAGTCTCAGCTCTGGTGGCCCTGGGACCTGGGCCAGTGTCCTGTCTGGCTGAGCCTCAGTGTTTTCATATATAAAGTGGCAGGAAAAAGCCTCCAGTATAGGGGCTTTTGTGAGCATCACCCAAGATAATAGAAGTGACTGAGCTTTGTAAACTGTGGGTTGATACATAAGTGTCCCTGCTGACACAGCCAAGAGGTACCAGAAGTCAACAATGCATATGGAGGAAGCCAGGGAGTGACACTTCTGTGAGCACCCAAAGGTGGCCCAGTGAAGTCATCCAAGCAGGGGAACCATCTTCAAAGGTGACTCTCAGCTGCTTACGAAGCCCATGCAGCTTTGGGAGTTTGGGGGCCGTCCAGGTCAGAGCTGTCCCCCCCACACTGGGAGGCCCCCAAGCATCTCTGCCCATGTCAGTGACCAACCTAAGCTTTTCCACCAAAAAACCTGCCACTCAATTTGCTCCATGGACCCGCAGCAGGGGATCACCTGGGACAGTGTCAGAAATGCAGGATCTCAGGCCCCACCCCAGGCCCACTGAATCAGAATCTGCATCTGAATGAGATCCTCAGCCCTGTCATTAGAGTTTGGGAGGCACTGGTCTAGAGGGTATAACACTCAACTTGGGCAGAAAGCCTGGGATTGAGCTGTGGGGCCATGGCCAACCTTGGCCACTTAGAACAGGGGAGTGTTCAGGTTTGTAACCAGCCTGCCTGGGTTCAGAATCCAGGCCCCCCACTTTCTGGCTCTGTTAGCTGAAGGATGTTCCGTAAGCTGTCTGAGCCTCGGTTTCCTCCATTAGCAGGCGTCTGATTGACACGCAGGAACGTGAGAGGCAGGAGCCCACTGTCCAGGACATTAGCCTCAGTGTCATCTTATGATGCTCCTCCAGGCTCCTTCGTCCTGCTGCTGCTTGTCATTTTAGCCAGGACTCTTCCGATGGCAAGGGACAACTACTGAACTCAAACTGGCAAAGGGAATTTGTTAGCTTTCACTGAAAAGTCCAAGCATAGATTGTTCACTAAAGAGTGGCTGTATCCAGGGGCTTGAACGATGTTGACAGGAATCTGTCTCACTCTTTTGTCCTGCTTTCCACTGTGTTGGCTTCATTCCTAGGCAGGATCTCTCCTTCTGATGGCAAGATGACAACCAGACACTCTAATAGTGGCCCTAATAGTGGCACAAGTTTTAATCAGTCCAGTAACTAAGCAGGGAAAAAAAGTGCCTCTCTGTCAACAGTTACAGCAAAAGTCCCAGGGCTGATTCTGATTGGTCCAGTTAGGGTCACACGGCCACCTCTGAACCAATCACCGAATCTGCAGTCCTCTCAATGGCAGGAGCTTCACCAAGAGCCTCAAACCAGAGTTCCCCAGTCCTGTACCTTATCCCTGTTACCATGTCCCACTAGGAAACAAAAACCCAAATCCTCAAATCAAGGGCTTGAAGACCCCCCGTTCTGAGTTCTGATCTGTTGTAACTGTCCTTTTCTTTACAGTTCAGAAGAAATAAAACTAACCAGGGAACTGTGCTAGCAGAGGCAGGCCCTGGCCAGCTGGACCCCTCTGAACCCACACATCCCACACACCACGGGGGGACAGGGTGGTGACTGCCAAGTGCCCACCTGTCCCTAAGTCCAAAAGCACAAACTCAGAGGGAAACCCTTATGTCACCCCATTGTAAGTCCACATCAGATGGGACAATCTGGAGGAAGGAAGGAAGGAGGGAGATGAAATTTACTGTGAAACTGGTCAGTAATGTGGTTTAATCTCATGGACACGTGCTGGCATTTTGACCCCAGTGCTCTGGCTTGTTTCTCATCCCCACAATTTCCTGGGATCTACCGAGCAGCGTCAACTGCCAGATGAGAAGAAAGCCAGCCCCACGAACAAGACAAACTCTGACGGGGACAGAAGCAGCACAGTCCCTTCGTGTCTGGGCACCAGGAGAAAAGACGTGGGACTTTATCTTTTGCATTTTCCTTGAGGGGAGAAACCAGACTGCTTGCATGCTTTGTGCCACATGCCTGCTGTGATCCCAGCCTGGTGCCCGAGGTCAGGGGTGAAGCTGCCGCTCAGCAATGTCCTGGGGCCCCAGGGCACACGGGGTGTGCAGCTGCCCTGGAAAGAGGCAACAGCCACACTTCACTCCCCTGTCACAAGGCGGAGGCACCGAGAGGCATGTGGGTAAAGACAGGTACGGGGACAGCTCAACCCGCACACCTCTTCCCAAACTTTTCAGCTGAGGACTCTGGTCCCAGTGCATCTTTCAGGACAATGCAGCCTGCCTTCTGCTGCATACCTGCGCTGTGGCCTGTGCACCAACCAAGAACTCCTAGAACTCAACCAGGCCAAGGGCCTGAGCTCTCGTCTTGCCATGGCCTCCTTGAAGGTCTGGGTACAAGTTCATGGCCCGTGCAGAACAGCTTGGGTGGTGCCCAGCTTCAGGTGCCCAGCCCAGCCCCATCTGATGCTCTGTGCTTGGCCCTGTGCCTCTGGCCATCCACACACAGCAGAGGCTTTCCCTGGAGGAGGCTTTGGGACCA